GGACATAACACAGTGCAATAACAAATAAACAAAGTCCAATTCTTCTTATCTAAGTCTCAACATCCACCTCACCGAATGGCTCAGACACCACATTAAATTCACACACAGTGAAGGGGGCACAGCATTTCCAATTAAATAACAATATTTATTGTTCACCAGGAGGGGAAACCCTAAGAATTTGCAGGCAAGATTACTTTCCACTGAACATGCACCATTATCACACATAAAAAAGCTTCTTGAACCAATGTTTTTTCAGTTTTTGATAACAAGCACCATTATAATCTATTCAGAAAGGAAATGAATTAGTACCATCTCCTTATCCACTCGTTTCCAGAACAGCAAAACATCTCTAGCTAGTCTTCGGGTGCGAATGGGTGCACTCCTCATGAATTTAAGTGATCTACTCACTTTCATTCTGACCTGAAAAAGAGGGATGTCCATACAAGTAAAATATCAGATCACAGGATTTAGAGTTAAAACTAGATTGGTGATACATATCAGAAACCAATCCGCCTTAAAACAGATGAAAGATGTGCAAATGGTAGGAAATAGAGCATGCCTCTCTTTGACAGTTCTCTGAGAACCTCTTGGCATCAACGAGTTGCTTTCGATGGAAAGCAGTAAAAAACCTATGATGCTTTGGTATGTCTCTTCTTACAATATTTCCAGACCTTTCCAATTCTTTCCATTTCCTCCTTCTCAATCAAAGAAGGGTCTTTCTTTATTTTTGTTTCTTAGGTAGGCTTCTTTCAATGATCTGCAGTAGTGGAGAAATAGGGATCAATGAAAGAGGGAGAAAAGGATTGAAGAGAAAGGTCTCCAATAATATTATAATACCCATGCATACCTCATATGTGTCGCCTTTCTCCAAAACCTTCACATAATAAACCTGCAATACACCACCCTCAGACAAAATAGATCGCTTAATATTTCCAGCAGCTCCCTCTGGGATGGAAGAATTCAAAGCAATATCAGTTACTTTCAGACTAAATTGATGAGGTGAGTTAGAAGCTGACATGGCCTTCAATCGTGCCTGAAGTGATTCAAATTGAGGTAAGTTTTCCCCCATGCCCGCTCGGTTTCTAGTCCCAACCCTTTTATCAGAAGCCATCATTGCAGCCAAGGATCCCAAATCCAAGGTACCCTTTAGGTAAAATTCCTCGACTCGAATATCCGAGAAACTTGGAAGGTTCAGCATTGCTGCTAACTGATCATAAGTAGGAGGAATTTTGTAAATAGTGCCATCTCCAATATCTAAAGAAGCTGGTTCATAGATAGTTCTGCAAGTGAAACAAAATGATGATGATGCGTACAACATAAAGTCATAAATAACATTGCATAATCCAAAATTCCAAATGCTCTAATACTATCCAGGCAACAGGGAAGAAAAGGTAGACCTATCAGATCCATATTGATGTCTGAATTCTGCATCACGGTAGTTTACAGGTTTCTGAGGATTAATATCATTCAACCACTCTGATGAAGCCTCCAGAGCATGTATTCCTCCTCGGTTCTCATTCACTAACTTACGAGCTTCAAGCCTATGTTACTCTTAAGAAGTGGAGCGCTAACCCGATTTTGGGCAGGACTAGATGAGGTATCTTTATACCTCCTCTTGTATTTTTGAATATGTTCCCCAAGCATTGATCGGTATCGCTCCTCAGTCATGTGTGTTCCACAAAAATACCCTTGTCTTCGCCGTCACTATTTTGAGACCACTTCCTCTTCTTTAACAAATTTACCTCCCTTCCACGCGTACTCCCATTGCTGTAATTTGCGATTGCCCCACCTATGTATGGAAGTATTCAAAAAAAAAAAATACAGGGTACAAATTTACATGAGACACGGCTCTGGCTCTCCAAAATTCATCAACTGATTATACAGGGAGAAAACTTGTAGAATAGAACTATCATTTACGTGCACAAAACCCAAGTAGGTAAAGAATCTTTGAAGACCAACACAAAGAAAAAAGTAATGCCTACCTTGGCTATCTCTGCTCTCATCCTGACTACTATTCCCATAATAATCAAAATCATCATCTTGTTGTGGAAGTTGAAAATTCATCAAAGACTACAAAACAAAATGCAACAACAAAACAAAAAATAAAGAGCCGTAATAATATTTAGCGGGAAAATAAGCTTTAGGAAATATAAGAAGCAAACAACAATTAGAATCAACTATACAAAACTCTTGTAACCCACCAAAAGCGATAAAATAAAATAAAAAGATAAAAAAAAAAGTTCGGAGACATGATGCAGGGATATAGAACCTCTGCTTTTAACAAGGCAGTTCAGCAAAGAGAAGCATAATATATCAAGGCTTAGAGAGAATAAGGAAGGCCAGAGCCACAAACCTCGAGATTGAAAAGACTGGAGTAAGAGAGCGAGTCCTTGGATTGCCTTCTGTGATCCATGGGGTGTGACGCAACTACAATGCGAGGGTAACCGTGGGCGAAGAAACCCTAATTCTCTGGAAAGTCATGAAGGAAGAGATCGGCAGAAGGAGGGCAGAAGGAGAAAGAGAAGTTCCTCAATAGCCCTAAAAGGAGTATGGTGGAAGACAAGGGAATGGAGTGGTGCGTAGGATAAGGTGGGCAGCAAGGAGGAAGAGAAGGGTCGAAGACGCAGGGGTGCCCGTAGCATCAAAGTGTGCTAACGTACACCGGATTGGTGACATTTCTTAACGTGCGCTACGAAAGGTATATTTCAAGTTCCACTTCTCAGGAGCAGGAATTTGTGCATCCAGTTCAGCACAAACGGTATTGAGCGGTAGCAGACGGAGAGAGACACGTGGAGAGAAGATCCTCAAAACTCACAAGAGATGGGGGCGCCTCTTTTTTTTTTTTTTTTCCGCGTAACCTCAAAAAATAGGGTTTTTTTTTCAAAAAGAAAAATAAACTATCAGCGGGCTGCGTATTGGAAGCCCAACCAACAAAAGGGCCCAGTATTAACTATTAACTAACTAATTACTTAATGAGTTATTAATAATGATAATCAACTAGATTTTCATTAACTCAGAGCAAGCTTACCGTTGGGGGAAAACGATAAACACGTGCAGAGCATACTCGGTGCTGTGAGAACATAATGAAACTTCACATCTTAATTTCTAGAATCTTTTGTTTCAAAAAAAAAAAAAAAAATCAACAATCTTCCACCATCCTAAGGCTATAAAGAAGTTATCCAATCATATTTGACCCCATTTGACCTGAAGAAGTCTGATCCTGTTAAAAACTAATGCTTTAAGATTGAAAAGACTAAAAAAATTAGATTATTTTTTGGATGGAAGTGGACAGGAGACTAGACATTTGGAATATTGATCCAGTCTAGTTCTATTAAATTTATTTAATATAATTATAATCCATTTACTAATTATTTATAATAATAAGTTAAGACAACTAATAGCTTAATAAGTCTAGTGGCTCACATGATCTCACACTCAAACTAATAATTTAATAATATGGACCACTTGAACTGTGATTAAAATATTTTTTCTTGTTATTGAAAATTATAATGGGTTTATTATGAGTATAAGTGTTTCATATTATTTTAATTGAGTTTATTATGTTGAAATAGATTATTATCTCTCATATAGAAAAAATTAAAAGAAAGCTAAGGTATTACCAACAACACCAGTCTTCCAACCTTATGGATCAAATTTAGTCCTGTTAATTTTTAAGTTATCATAAGACCAAATCGAACTATGGGTTGCCTAACCCAGCATAAAAGAGACCAAACTTCAAGTTAGGTCGAAATTCAGTCTCGTTCAATCTTTTGTGCACCATTACACCATCTCATGCAAAAAGTGATAGAATCCTCATCCTACAATAATAGAGGTAATAGTATGATATATTTGTTCTCATTTTTATATTTTACTTCAATTAAATACGTTTTTCAGTAGAGGAGAAGGTTAAAGTTAGATTAGAACAAGCATACAACTATAATTTTGATACTGCTTTTAAAATAGAGAAAATATAATTTTCAATCCTTATATTTTTTTGGTGTTCTAGATTCAACACTTTTATTTTTCGTTATTTTAGGTTTATCCATGAATAAAATATAGAGATCTTAGAGGGATCCAAAATAATAAAAAATAAAAGTTTAGAAATCCAAAACACTAAAAAAAAGTGCTTGGATCAAAAGATAAATTCAAACAAAGTATAGAGATTCAAAATTATATTTTTCTTTTAAAATATGATATGACTAAATTCACTTTACAATTCATATGTTTCCACAAAAACTCCAATTATAGTTTATGATCTTTTAGCCAGCAAGTGAAGTTTACGTATGATCAATAAATTTAATTTTTTACATGATTAGGGTGATATTTTTAATTTTAATATTAATCAAGATAGTCCAAGTGGCATTCAACTTCAGATTTTAGTATGGTATATTTTGAAAAAGTTAATCATTTAATCCTTTTAATTTTAACTCAATTCTAAACTTTGACTCGTTATAATTTAGTCCTTTAATTTTAACTCAATTATAACTCAATCCTTAAACTTTGTCTTTTGCAATTTCATTCGCATAGTTTCATCTACTTAAATATTGGTTCCTATATTTTAAAAAAATAAAATTATAAAAATTAAAATATTCAAATTTTAATATTTATAATATTTAACAATTAAAATTATAATATTTTAATTTTTAATATTTATAATATGCTGAAATTTTGATATTTATAATATTGGTAATAAAATTATAAAGATTAAAGTTATGTTAAAATTTATCACCAACATTTTAAATTATTAAACCCTTTAATCTTTAAAAACTTTATAAATATTAAAAGTTCAAATAACTTTATTTTTATAGTTTATTTTTTAAAATGTAAGGACCAATATTTATGTAGTTGAAAGTTGAAACTATTGGGAACTAAATTATAAGAGGCAACGTTCAAGGATTGGGCTACAACTAAGTTAAAATTATAAGAATTGAGTTAAAAATAGTCAAAGTTCAAGGATTAAGTTACAATTAGATCAAAATTACAATAACCAAATGATTAATTTTCTTTGTAATTTTTTTTGAACATAATAAACACAACAAATTGTTATAAATGTAAATATTTTGCATAGATGTCTATCTCCCCATGTCATAATTATAAGATATGGCATCTCATTTGTATTATTGGGAGTATAGAAGAGAATACAAGAAATCATCCTCATTTCTACTGCCTTTGTTCTTTTCCTCCTCCTCCTCCTCTTTCTTCTCATTTGTATTGTATTTATTGTCTCGTTTATTCATAACATGTTATTAGCATGAGTCTCTAATGAATTGTATAAAGCATAAACTTGAAAGGTTCCTCACTGATTTTTTGAAGATTTTAAGTTATCATGTTTAGGTATGATATTTGATTCTGTTATTGTTATATTTCATGTCTTATCTCTTAAATGTTCAAGATTTATTCATTTATAGCATGATTGTGATTGTCAATTTGATAATGATTTATAACTGATGAAAAAGAATTGGATATGCGTTAATAAATGACAAACAGAGCCATGATATATTTATCTCATAATAAATGGCCATAAGTTGTATAACTTTTGATTTTGGAAAAGATCATTATAGGGTTTGTTAGCAATTTAGCTATTTGATGGCTATAAATAATATAGCCCTAAAGGCTTTTTTAAACACTTCAGAGCATGAAAAGATTGAATGGATTTGAAAATTATTTTTATTGTGGTTCTAGCAAATAGTATTTGATGAAATTAATATGATATTCAAGAATGTGGAAGATTGGCAAATCTATAAGTTATTACTCTTGAAATTTATTGCTCATCATTATCCATTGTGTGGAAATAGTTTGATCATAAGACGGTGTAATGATTGGAAATTAATATTTATCATATTGAGTTATGAGATTTTTATTTTTTTATTATTATTCCATAATTGATTTTAAGATTCATTTTAATATGATATGACTATAGTTGTTCATTCGATATTAATTATTTGTTCCTGACAAACAAAACTGAATTATTATTTTTAATACTCTTGATCATGTGATTAGATGGCTAAAACCCACATTACTTTGATAGTGAGTTTATTGTAAATATTAATTTATGGTTTCAATAGATGGCATGACAAGAAAAATTCACAGCATTTTGATAATCTGATGATTAATATGTTATAACCTTGAAGGTTAATTATTTAATAAAATGATCAAAAATACATGTTGTGAAACTAAAAGGACAATGAGATATTAATAAATGTAAAAGGTAATTATAAAATGATCAAAGTCATATGTTGTGACATGAGAAAATGCACAGAAAAAGCTTTTGCGAGGGAAAGAAAATAATGACAAGCTTGAAAGGTTATAAGATATTTAAAATTAAAAGGATTTATGGTGTTCAAGTTTGAAAGACTGTATTTGAAAATTTATATAATGTTTAATTATATTAGCATTTAAATTAATAGTCATCACTTTTACGAGCAATTATTATAGTTTTTCTATATGGAATTAATCTTGAAATAATTCTAAACAAAACGTCCATGCATCCTTTCGATATTTATGAAATTGTATTTATATTTCTAATTTATCTTATAAAAAATTGAATATGGAATAATTTATTAATAGTTTGTATTTATGTATCCATTCTCAAAGGACCATGTAATTGATTAGTTATGGCAAAACTAAAATGGATATCTCTTATTTTATGGTTTGAAAAGGATAATTGATGAAAAATTGATCAATAAATCTATATAAGAGATTGATTAACTAAAGATTTTGATACAATAACTCAATCAAAAAATTAAAACTCATAATTTTGTGTAAGTTGAGAATCACTCAGGTTTTCTAATGAAAAGAAGGCTATTGTCTACTATGTATAGGCCATTATCTTTAAAATGCAATAATTAATAAATCAATATTGAAATTACGTTTATATAACTCCTGCTTGAGGGGGAGTGTTAACTTACTAAAATTGATGCCAATTTAGCACATTTTCCTATACTTTCTTTGACAATTGGTTCAATTGTGAATATTTTGAGTTTAAATATAGGAAAACGAGCTTTAATTGAAGTTAACTTGAAAAGAGAATTTATTGGCAATTTTAGCAAAGAATCTTGCATTGATTTTAAACTTTGAAAGATATCATAGCTGTATCTATTGTTTCGGGTGACTTCTTTTAGGTAATTATAGTGATTGAGAGCAAAATGATGTTTGAAAATGCATATGAAAACATAAAGACAGTAAAAATTGGGCAATAAATGAACATTGAAGGCTTTGTGTTATGTGTCATGGTGCATCCACAATGCACCATGATACATGGCACGAAGATAGACTTCTTGGAGATGTAAAGGTGTTGTGGCTTACTAGAAACGCACTGTGGCAAAATTCCACATTTCTGCACATGCACCACAGTGCATTGATCACACGTCGTGGTGTATTGCTTAAATTTTGCTACGCATTTTGAGTTGTAAAATGTAAAATTAGGGCTATATAAGCCATAACCATGCCTTCAGAGAGAAGGTTGCAACTTCCAGAGGTATTTTGAGGCTTGCTCTACTAGGGTTTTTTTTTTAAGGTGATTTAGCTAAAGATTGAAGATTTAAAGATATTCAAGTAGATTTCCTTCAATTTTTCTTCTTCTCTTTCCTTTTCTCTCTTTATTTATAATATGGATGCTG